TATGCACCCTGGAACAAATCTAAATGCTTTACCTGTTTTGGCCTCCAGAAGTGCTAGACCGAACAAGAATAGCCATGTCAAAATCATAGTGGTACTCATCTCATCAGATGTTACTGTTAGAAAGGACTGTCAGAATATATAGTCTCTCTTTCTGAAGGGGAGTGGCTCTATAGGTTTCTCTTTCTACAGGAGAACAATAAAACAACCACACTCCTATGATCTGAAATGAAAATTTGATTTGTTATTCAAGGTTTTGTAACTTCCTGGGTTTTGCAGAAAGATGATATATCAAGAGTAACTTTTTCCACTGCCTGAAAGGAAATATCTGTGCTACTGTAGGTTTACACAATCATCTCATTGTACAAAGAAAATGAGCTCCTATCCAAAGATACCTTTCAATTCTGGACAATGAATCTCAGTATTTTTCTTTTATGGGGAGATTCTTTGACAGGTCTGGGGAAGGTAGTGGAACCTTGAAAAATAGAAGTGTTTTCTCCAGTAAAGTAATAAAAGAGCTTCATAACTTGGTTCCAACTGATGAGACAAGTCTCCCTGGGGAGCCATGAATTTCTTGCAGGTTTGGCATACTCAAATAAAACATGATAAGGCCTAGTGGCCCTGGTCAAGTGTGACTGGGAGGTTCGCTGAACATAACCCACGAGCACTGTTGCTGTTGCTGAATGCAACATGAAGATAACTGAGAGACACTTAATTGAGACAGTTGCATCTTACCAAAATTGCTAGCTCTACTACACCATTGATTCCTCTGCCACCAGCAGCAGAGACAACAATAAGAAGGTTAAGGTAGAAGGTGGTTGCATCCTTTTGGTGGGTGTAGGAACCACTGGAGAGGCAATGGAGATGTGAGGAAAGGAGAGGAGGCAATCAGTGGTGCTGGGCTGAGCTACCAGTCCAGGACCTGGGGAAAGAGATTTGGAGTGGCAGCAAGGGGACCTGACTCTCAAGTCAGGTGTGAAATATTGCTTGCTAGTTTCCTTGCTTGAAAGCCACAGCCATAAGTGGAAGGGAGCTCGTACCAGTGCGCAAATGATAACTTTGCCTCACACATGGGTAATTTGCTCCAGGTAATTAAGGAGAGGGACTGAGCCAAACCTTGTAAGCAAATCACAGTGAGATACCTGAAGAACCTTGCAGTTGAAGTCAACACCTCCAGCTCCAATATGAATCCATTCCTTTTTGGCACTTTTAAGTTCAAGTCAAAACTCTTTTCACTGAGAGACTGTTAGATTACAAGGAAGTGTCAAGAGGGTCAGGGTCAGCTAATAACTTTTTGTGAAAACTGCAGAAAAATCAGTGGATTTTATGCATAGTTAAGTAAAGTACATAGGTTGCAACTTAACTTTATTCTAAAATTTCCTTTGATTCTTTAAACCATCAAATGGGGAAAAAATATTCAGATTTCTATTAAGAATCTTTCTTAATACATTTCTTGTTTAATTTTGCATAGTGATAATTACAGCTGTGTCATACTTTGAAGAATTAATCCAAAGCTTTTCCACAACATGAACTAATGCTTAATTCTCATTCATCGCTATCTTGCCAGAGTGGTTATTTTCCTGTATTTCTGTGTTCTAACCATTTAACGAGAAAAGGCTGATGACCATCCTAACGCTAAAGAGCCAAAATATTGTTCTTCGTCTGATTCCTACCCCTACAGCCATCATGGCTTGGATGGCATTATCAGGAGTTACAGTTTGTGGCACAGTTGTTGCCATATTCAAATTTATTGCCTCCATGTGTATTCATCAAAGATGAAGACTAAAGTCCAGGAGCCCAAGGGAAAAATGCCTTAGAAGGTCTTTCCACAAAGGCCAGCATTATTGGAATAGAAGAAGGAAGTGCAAAACACAAGAGGCCAAAGATAATGTTGGAAGTCTTGAAAGTGAACATTGAGAAAGGTAAATATGCTGCTTCTTTATACAAACAACCACATTTGCACATGAATGAGGAAATGTACACAACACCTGCTATACACTATTCATATTCTTCTGATTTCGACGTCTTGGCAAGAAGCAGAAAAGAACCAGTATATTTGACTGACCAATCAAACGCTGCAATCAGTGAAGCAAGAGTGAGTGATGGATAGTAATTCTTCTCCAAACTCTTGTAATAACTGAAAAGGGTGGGGAGGTAGGGGAACACAGGAGTGAGTCCCAGATGGCTCAAGTTAAAAAGAACACGTCAAACAGTCCAGGTAAATGAACAACACTGTTTAATTAATTCTTCACTACATTCTTCACTTATTAATTATTTACTATAAACTTCAAAGATCTAGATATTTCCGGAGAGCTTGATTACTAGACAATCTCTGCAGAGTAGGAATGGATAAATGTGAATTAATTAATTAATGCAAATATCATACAGCACATGTTTTCATCCTTCCCATTGGTTAGGTAAGTCTCTTGCAGTAACACATTTTTGCTCTCTGGGACTTCTTCTGGCAGCTTGAAGTGTCTCTCAGCACATTACTCTTTGAAAGAAGCTCCACTGAGCTTTGAAAACACTTTCTCTTCTACTGACTATTGTTAGGAGACTTCTGCAGATGTACTGGCTTTTGTGAGGTCCAAATGAAAGCCGTTGAAAGGACATAGAAGATTAATCAGCTTTCATCCATGACTATAAGAAAGTATCTAGACTGGAATGAGGGTATGCACAGACTTCTGGACAAAGAAACAATAGCCTGAATCCATGCGTTAAGATGCAATGAGGCAGCTTAGTCTGCTTTATTGGGTTCCTTGATGGCCTCTTGGGCTCTGTTGTGTGTTCATGTGAAGCATGCCATTGCAAATTGATTTGCATTTGTCTAATGATGAGGATGCAAGTGGATCAGAACTGTCTACTGCTGAGAGTCAAATACACTGGCTTTACCGGTAGAAGCTTTCCTGAATGCGGTGGGGCAGGAGGTGGGAAGGAAGGTTCTTGACAGAGACACTATTCACCAGGCACAGGTACATGACCTACACAGGTAGCATGACCCTTTCCTCATCACCAAATCCAGTTTTCTTGAATCCTGCATTTCTATAATACTTGTGGACCAAGGAAGGTGGCAGGAAACAAGGAGGATGATTCTGAGACACCAACTACTTGAACAGTTTAGTGGTTTTCTACAGCAACATTTACTATGGAAACCACTGAACTTAGTACTTTTACCTTGCTTTCTGATACAACCTTGGTATATCTCCATCTGGGATTCCTGGCACAGATATAGTATATGGGAAGACTCAGGTCTGAACAGTTCAGGCGTGTTGCATATTGGAGGCACCAACATCCTAGGTCTAGGATCTTTCTGCTTGTCTGATCACAATAATATTCAGGGACTAGGAGAAGTAGAAAAAATACCATCAAGCTATGCCCTGAAAACTGGTGGGTTAGCAACACCACAGCAGCAAGGCCACAGCAGGAGCAGGGGCAGGGCAGAGCAGAGCAGAGGGGAAGATCTTTTTCTAGAGAGGTAGGAAAACCTAGGTCCAGGACAGTCTTCACTGTGCTGAGCAGGTCGCTGGATTCCTCCAAGCCTGGACAATCTCTGGTCTACACAACAGGACTAGAGGAAAGGCAGAAAAGCCTCCTGGATTGCTCTGCCCTTCAAAGGTGGCTGTAGGCAGAGAGGAGGGGAGGACCCTCCTCAATCCTTGTTCCTCATACGTGGACAACAAAATTCATTTCCACTTTCTGTGGGCAATGCCAGTCCCTCCTTGTATGGTCCCTTCTCCACAGCATGGAAAGCTGATGAGAGGCCTGCCTGGAGTCACCTGCAAAAGGCAGCTTGCAGGAAGAAATCATACAGGCTGTAGTGATGATCCCTGTCAGAGCTGCCCACATCCTCCTCATCAGGTCAGGATGTCACCCTAGAGTGCAGCTCACCTTCCTTACATGTCACTATTTTGTCTCTGGATCACCTCACAAATAGTACTTTATACTGTTCCCAATGAACTTTCCTCTTTCACAGCTGCCTAGAAAACAGGAAAGTCTGAAGAGGAGCATTTCTCGGTCAAATACCAGTGACCCTTCCACCTGTAGTAAGTGGCTTCTTCCAAAGAGATTCTTCCTTTTTTATTGTTTTTATTTTGTTTTCATGTGGGGATAGGAGACAGGTCACACTTCCTTACGGGAACTTACGTACATTATCCCTTCCCCGCCCCATTACAGGTGTAGAAATGCGTAAGAGCAAGAGCACAAGCATTGCTTGCCAAAAAGTCTCTTTGTCAGAAACCACATTCTCCAACCTGATAATGTGTTAACCGGGAGTTCAGACACATAGGCGGTATGTTTGCAAGTACACAAAAAGAAGTATTGCTCAAAAGACATTTTTTTTCCTGCTTTTTTAAATTACACATTTACATAACAGATTTGATTATATTCGTCCTCTATACAAAATCTTATAAATGGACTACATTTTCTCAGAAGAACATGTAATTGTGAAGACCCATACCCCCCAAAATAAAGAATGCCGTACAGGAGCAATTCCTTACTTGCAGCCCCTGTGCATTTTCACTTATGGCTCATTATTGAGATAGTTTTACAGCAAAAAAATATTTTTCTTGGACTACTTTCCAGAGTGTCTCATGGTGCCACACAGGTGTTTTATCTGCATATCAGCAATGGCAAAATAATTTAGTTCTTCTTTCTCAAGTCACCTAAATCAGTCTTCTCAGACAGACAGTCAACCATGAGCTCAACTGAGATGCTCTGACATGTCTGGCATTGAAGACAGTAGCTTATTTGGATGCTGGGATGGAAGAATCAACCTTCCTTTAGACCTTAGGTGTATGTGGGCTTGAGGATTTTAAAGCCAGGCTCCTTTATAAGTTCAGTTTATGGTAACACTGGCTTTTACCTTAATACAGTGTGTTCTTCAAACTAGATCTGAACGGTGGAATAGTTAAGTAAGAGTTACTCTCTACAGAGACTGCAAAACCAAATCATGAAACAGATGGCTGGTGAAAAGATCCTTCCTCCTGCAAGTCTTGGGTTGCCTCTCACATTATTTGGTATGGGATGGGTTCCTGCAGTTTTCGCTTCAAAAGAAATCCTCCCACAGTGAGAACAGCAGCTGCCAGCACCACGATGGTCACAGCCAGAGGAACATGGGAGCTGGCAGCAGGCGCTGAGCTCGGAGACTCCCCTTTTGCCTGGACGCCAGAGGACAGCTCTGTGCATAAAAGAAAGAGAGAGGCTTACATTTGTTTTCCTGAGCTAGTTAATCTCAAAGGTAATTAGACAACGAAAACTCAAATTAAAATGTTGCAATCTGGATTCTGATCAGAAACCAAATCACTTTATTGCACACAGTTTCATAAATGATCCTGTGGTCATGCCAAACAAGTAAGGATTATGGCAAGAAATTAAAGAGCAACTAAGAATTTGCAACAATTACATTCTAAGACCATAAGATGCTGTTTTCTGATGATGGAAACAGCAGCTACAGGACACTGGGAAACAACATTTCCAAGGGGACCTACAGACTGGTTGCTAATAAATGAGAGACGTGCCTGTCAGGCATAGACAGCTTTGAAAAATTAATATAAATCCTGCAGGGAGATGAGTTACATATCATCCCTCTTCCCACAGAACTGAATCAATTGCCATTTGACATGTGCAGAAGAAATAATGGGTCGAAACTACAATAGAAAGGAAATAGCTTGTAAACATTATAAAACAATTTTATAAAAATTAATTTTTAAAAAAAAATCCCCATAAGAATTATAGCAGAGTTATGAATAAACCAGCACAGGCATATTTCAGAGCTGGATATCATGTCTGAACTGACACACAAACATACAGTAATATACAGTCTTAATTTACTTAAGTTATTTAAATTTACCAGCTTTCCTGTTCTCAGCGTGAGCTTCCTGAACTTGAATAGGTCCAATAACAACATTCACTTTTTCCTGGGAAGAACCTGCATTCCTCTTGAACCTACTAACACAGCCTTGATAGCAGCGGGAAGAGTAGTCGTTGTACCTGCACACCACCAGCTCACACTGCAGGTAAACTGATGGGTATCGATTAACAAATGAAAAAGCATTAAATGCAAACCGAGCAACACTGCTGTGTGGTGAATAGTAAGTAGAGTAGGTAGGATCCTTAACACACCTGGAAAGATAGAAAATTAACAGATTAGCTATTGTGAATAGAAACACTATTACACTATCTCTGTGCAATGTGTTTTGAGTTTAAATATAAACCTGGAAGGTAAGTGTATGTAAGAGAACTCAAAAGGCTTTAAAAAAAGTGTGCTTTTAGCAAGAAGAGAAATTAAGAGACAAAAATAACTAGGAATGGCAGTGTTTTCTACCACAATAATGTATACAGTCCAGAAATTTCATAGGTCAACGAAGTTTGTGTATACATGAATAGCTGAAAAATGACTAGTGGTTCCACTGGTTTCTGAGTTTCAGGTGAGGACCTGTTTTGCAAAGAGGCACCTGCAGGTTGTTGCAGAAGCAGAAAGGGCCCTTTCTACTCTGGAAGGACAAAACTAATTCTAATACATGTCTTTTTTTGGGCAATAAATGTGCTCTTTAGCCCTTTGATGTTTTTAGAGTACCTTGCTTGAGGAACCTCAACACCTGATAGAGATCTCCAGATGTTTCACAGAGCAAGTTGCTAGATTAACTTTCCTGTCAATGAGTTTCACTTCCTGGCAATTACTAGCCTTAGAAGTCAGCTAACTTAGATCCTAGTCATTCTGGTTTAATTTAACCACAGTGAAAAAAGATCAGAATAATTCACCCACAATTGTTACCCCAGAATATTCCAAAGTTGTCATTAATTATCTTTCTGTCTCAAAACAATTCCATTGTGCTCATCTCCCTAATAAAGACCCCAAGGCTTTTAAGTCCTCTCATTCTTAGTTTATTTTATACTGCAGTGGTATCCCAACACACCTGATATTTATAGATGGATATTATTGATTTCATATTTGGTAAATACATTTGCTTTTGACACAGTTCCTTGTCATGTGAATAAAAATTAACTGGAAAATGATCAGAATCTATTTGCCCCATCTCCCTGGTGAGTGTTCTGCTCACAAAGGTAGACTGTCCTCCTGTGTCCTGCTTAATGATATGTGTTTTTATAGATGAAATAAAAAGAAACCCCAACAAAAGGAAAACCTTCTTAAGATTCACATAAAGTGTAAAAGGGAGGACATTCACCCAGCAGGCAGGAGGCACTGTGTCACTTCATTAGCCTGTCACAAGCCTGACTTCCAGCTTAGCAATAGGTTACTGCACTGCTAAGGTTACTGATGTGAACACTCTCCCAGGAGGCAGAGAGATTCAAATCCCACCAACCATAGAAGGGAAATAAATTAGCATGAGCCTTTCATTCCTGGAACAAAATGCTTCATTCCTGGACACTTTTGTGCTTCTAGATCACTGTCCGCTTTGCATTCCTTACCAGAGGCCACAACTTTTCCTTTTCAAATCAAAAGGTGTATTTTGTATAAAATTAAGAAAATGGTTTAGGTTTTTAGAATAGCAGGAAAAGGCTAAGGAATTTCCTTTCTCTTTGAACAGACTGTTTTGTATTCTACTTATGATGCTGCATGAAACTATTTGCAAAACTCTAATTCTGATGTACGGGAATGTAGAGCCATTGACATCCCTACGTTTAATGTATCTATTATTTCAGAGACAAATTCAGACCTCAGTTTCCACACTGCCTCCTTGAGTGAAATCTCAGTGCTTGACTGCAACTTCTGAATGGGATTTCTTTGTCATATTTTATTCAGGCTTTGCCAAAAAGTCTTTCTTAAAAGGGTATTTGTATTGGGAATTGCAACCGGTATACACTGGCCCTAAAGAACCTCTTTCATAAGTGAAGCTCTTTCAGAACTATGCACAGAGATAGTTTTTAAATAATTCTTTAGAAATTTCTTACCCACTCCTGATCAGTTCATAGGTCAGTGTTCTAAAATTGCTAGGATCAGGTGAAGCCACGCATGTGTCCACAAACACCACCAGATTTGGGTCAGAGCTGTGAAGAGAAGCTTGAAGGAACAAATTCTGATTCAGGTCAACGTAGTAGGGGAAGTCATGCACTGGCCACAGGAAAGATGAGGAATTGTAGAATGTCAAGTTCACATTGTATCTGCCATACTGGGTTTCACTGACGTTAATGATGTCATCAGCAATGTACGTTACTTGCACCCAGGTGTTCTGGAGCATTTTGCAGCTGATGTGCACGTGAAGGTCCTTTTGCCTCTTGATGATGTAACCAGAAGCAGGCACTTTTATCACATTGGAGTAGGTGATCGTTTCATTGTTGCCCTATTTGACACATTAGATAAGTACAAAATTATCACATGTAGTCATGTTCACAACCTGTACTTTAAATTTCTGCATGTGCCAGGTCCTAGTATTAGTCAGAAAGAACATGTCATACTCAAGGTGCAAGCATCCTGGATGGGATTGTTCACTTAACTCTCTCCTATACTTTGTTCTCTAGAACATCACTCTGAAATAAATACAGGGATTACCTAAAGCCTGGAAGGATAAGTAGGAACGTTTAACAGATCTTAGCCTCCACAAACACATGCTGCTTCTCTGTGTTTTGAATACCTATGGGCTACAACACCCTTTGAGACTCATGACAATTTTCCAAATATTTATTCAGTTTCCATGCCTGGACTTGGAGAGCTCTCTAAAATATGTTGACACCAACCTGTCTACGTGTACCACAGCCGTTGTATGGAATGTTGAATACAACCTCAGTTGATGTAATTGTTGGTCTACAATAAGAGTCAGACAAGCTGATGTTCCACACCGAGTAGCCCCGTGACTGGAAATACTGTCTGTCTACAACTGCGCGCATATAGGTTGGCAAGCACGTAAGGGCTAGGGAAGAAAATATGAATTATTAGTGATTTCAGGTACTTGATAATGCTTGCATGTTACAACTTCAACAAATGCAATAGCTGCTACCGTTTAGGGGAGAGAATTCATAAGCCAAACCACTTATTTTTACACTTTAGGTTTAGATATGACTAAGCAATAGTCTCTGACAAACTTCAGCTGACCTTCAGTTACTCTCCTGACAAAAGTATGTAGTTTACAATAGGCTTTTGCTGAGACCTGGAGCCTGTATCACCACTCACACAAAAATGCTAAGAAGTGGGAGTTTTTCCTGAATAAGAATCCAAAAGCTATTGTGGAAGGTGTAGAGATAAACGTGCACACTGGCTTGCAGAAACACTACTTGGCTGGGAGGGGATCCTGAGTCCATCTCCATGACGGTTCACTGAGTCCGTGACATGAGCAGCAATGATCCCAAGGAGAGTTTAGCCTTTGGTAGAGAGAGATACGTGATGACAGGGACCTACTGGCAACACACAGCTTCTTCAAAGCCATTTACAAAGACAACAGAGCCAGATGCAATGGCCATTGTTTGTGCCTGGGGAGGCTGTGATTAGATAAACTTTCCCACCGGGACTGCAGGACAATACTGGAACAGGTCACCCAGAGAAGTAGTGGCTTTGAAGATTTCATCCTTTGAATGATTCTAGAGCCTCAGCTAGACAAATTCATTATGGACCTGACCTATTGGTGTTGCCAATAGCTCTGCTTTGAATAGTTGGAGTAGGAAGCCTCCAAAGGTCCTTTCTAACCAATATTTTTATGTTTCTATGAAAATATGTCCGCAAAGGTAGAAAAAATATATACGAATAATGATGTGATAAGAAGAAATATGAATTTAGACTGGCCATCATAGAAAACACCTAAAAGCAATTAATTTGATACTTTTTTTAAAATGAAAAAGTAATTATTGTCCGAAAGTGATCGGTCAATAACCAGTTAAGAAATTCAAGTAGGAATGTAATCCATGTGGGATTTCTTCAACAATATTAACAAGTATTATTTAGCAAATAAGATCAGGGTATAAAAGTTTCTGAGCAAAGAAAACATTACAAACAGAATGGAGACTTACTGGTGTTCTGGTCTGCTGGAAAGGACTGATACTCAGCATGAAACCCTCTACTGGAATATATGGAGTCACTGTGAAATCTGACAGTCATAAAGTTTGAGGATGATGTGTACGTGAGATCAGAACTAGAACAAATTCTTCCAAGCAGAGGAGAAGTATTGGGTGGCCCATCATAGATCTCAATATAGTCATTCTGGCATCCACCTTGCAACCTGAGGAAGAAACATGACTATATAATACGATGCATCTAGAAAACTTTGGGTTTTAAGTGCTGAACAAACAATAAACTAAGATATTGCACTGACACAATTCCCGTGTAATATTTATAATTCACTTATAGACATGAGAAATCTGCTTGGGAACTGTGGTTGTAGTTGAGATTTGGGACCCATTTATTACCCAAGCAGGAAGTGGTTTACTTACTGAATACTTCCAAATGTGAGCATAATGCGGAAATTGTTTGTTACTTGTATTTGCCACAAACAATCTGTATTATCTGGATAACTCAAAGGATAAGAAGGACTCTGAATTGTTCCAGAGGAATTAAAAAGGAAGCCACCACAAACATATTTTCTAGCTGAAAAAAAAAAAAAAAACCCAAACCAGACAGACAATAAGGTATAGATGTGATTCATTTAGATTTACTTCTGATGGAATGAAAATACATTTTATGTATCCAAGCCATAGCAAAAGGAGGTTAAATCTCCAGAGAAACTGAATGGTTGTACTTTTCTCACTCAGGCTATAAGTATCTCTTCAGGGAACTCTGACTCTCCCCTTGCCATTTTGCATTTGGTAGGCTTAAGGTAAACATATGTAAGAGAGAAAGCAAGAGGTGCTGCCAAAATAACATAAAATCTAAAGAAGAAGGAAAATATTTCCACAAAATTACCACAATCTGAAATCCACACCCAGAGACAGAATCAGACAAACACGGGAGAAGTATGTAGGCTTTACAAAGTTAGAACAAATAATAAATTTTCTGAAAAATATTACACTGCACAAATGAGAAAAGCCCAACCTATAAAATGGTAACTACTACACCTCTAAAGTAACACATCAGAAAGATGAAAAAAACAGACAAACCTGGAGTAGTTGATAGTGGAGTGGAAACAGTGGTCGTGGTGGTGGCATCTGTTAGGGGAGGAAGAGAACG